CGGGGAGCCGCGGCTGCGGGAGGCCGCGCTGCTCGCCGTGGACGCCGCGCTGCTGGCGGGCGTCCTCATGCGCACCCAGGAGGAGCCCGACGCCTCGGAGGTGAGCGCGGGGGCGCAAAGGCCCCTCCGTCCCGCGCCGAGGGACGCAGTGAGTCAGCAAACGGCCGGAGCACAGGGAGGAACTCGCTCTCATTGCCGGGGTTCGCTGGAACAATACCCAGAACGGGCAAATTCACCTCTTCTCCGAAACAGGGGGGTTCGGGAGGTGGCTTGCTCCCAGCAAGGTGGAAGCAGGGTGTCCTTTAGATGGAAAGACTCAGCATTAGCTCTGGAGCGGCTGCTCCTGCCTCCGCAGACTCCCGTGGATGGCTTGTAAAGCAAAGTGGTCCAAAGTGAGCAGGTTTCAGACCGTGTGCCCTGTCTGTGGTGCATTGAAAGCGCTGGGGAGGTGGTTAGCTTGAACCTTTGGACAAGTAGAGGAAGCCACTAGTTTTAAATTTTGCCTCCTTTAGACACCCTTACTCTGGGGTGGCTTCCAGCATTGTAGTGTTTTGGGGCGAGACACAACTTCTCTCTTGCTGGATCCTTTTTTTCCAGATGGTGAATTATGCTCCTTTCACGTTGCTCCCATCAGCAGTACCAAAGGCCCTGTTTGAACAAGCATATGCTGTTCAGCAAGATTTCAACCTGCTTGTGGATGCAGTTAGCCAAAACAGAGAATTCCTGGAGCGTACTCTTGCCAGGTATTATTTTGTTTATTTTTTTTTTCCAACGATGCCTTTTAAATAAATATCTTAAATGTAAAGCGTTATTCTTCAGCTCTTGCCTTCCCCTGGTATTCCTCATGCTGCTTTCAGGCATTCCCAGCTTCTATCCATGTGTGTCCTGCACGCTGAATGTTATAGAGCATAGGCACATCTATCTTCTGCAAGAATCATCTCTTCTTTGCTGCATTACTTGTCCTAAGATTAATTTTCACCAACTCTTTGTGCTTTGACATCTGCCTGGGCCTCCCGGTAGATGCAGAGAGTGCCCAAGAACTGACTCCCTGCAATGATCTTCAGTTTAGCCAGTCTTCTAGCCCTTGGCTTCTCCCTCATGAACTTGCCACCCCTTAGGCCTTACGTTAAGTTGCTGGAGGCCTCTTTGAGCCCTGGGTGGGCTCTCTGGCACTTGGCTGCAGGAACAGAGAAAATGAGGTGGTTTTCCTAAAACCTCAGCCCTTGCAGCTGCTTTAACCCTTGTGCCAGCTCCATAACTACCTGCAGACGGAGCTGTGGCCAGGGGCCTGTTTCTACCTGTGGTTAAGGAATGCAGAGCCTGGGGCTTGGGGCTCTGCTCCCTGCCCTCGCCTCCTCCTACACAGCACCCCAGGGCTGTTGTGCTTTGGAGGTGCCGCTCATAATTAGCCCTGGAATTTGGGACTCGGAGAGGGGGGAAAAAGCCAGACTCTTCTATCAGACCTACAGAGTGCTTAGCACCACAGTGCGCAGGATTTGGAGACCAACAGGACAGAAGATTTGTTGAAACTCCTGAAGTTCCTTCTATGAACTTTGTCGTGGCCCAGAGAGATTCTTGATTTCTTTTCTCTCTCTTCAGAGCTTTTCCGTGTTTCTTTCCCTTTGCTTGCCTCATCTCTCTGACCTGCAAATTAGTCACCTCTGCACAGAGGTGCTTTTATCGCATAGCTGTGCTGAGCAAACTGGATTTGAATCATACACTCTGGCCCTTGAGGGAGAGGGCTTTCATGGTGAGATGATTAGTAGGACTTGCGAGATGAATTCTCCTGTTTCTCTGTGACAGCATCTGGTGGCCAATTTGATCTCTCTTTCTCTTTAGCACCATCAAGGTCGATGACTTCACAGCTCGACTCTTCCGAATCTACACGCAGGTTTTGGAGGAAGGATTGGCTCAGGTACCTTGGCAGGAGAGCCCGGCCGTCAGCAGCCTTGCCCCTCTGCTGTGCAGTGCGATAGCCTGGTATCTGTGTCCGCAGTCTCCTTGCTCCTCCTGGCTTTGAGCTGTCCTGTAGGCAGGCAGCTTGCTCCCTGGGTTACAAAATCTCACTGGGTTCCAAGCCGTGAGCTCACTGCCTTGTCCCATGTGCCAGTCGTGCTTTTTGGACAGTGGTGCTGGAGGCAGCCAGGCCTTGACTAGCAAGATTTCATACCTGCTTGTCTTGTCTTCTGGAAGTCTTGGAGAATGCAGGGATGCTCTGTCAGGACTCATTCTAGGTGGCCTGTTCCTGCAGAAACACGTTTCTTCTCAGGTGAGGGTTGTGGGAGCTGAGCAAAGGCCAGGACTCGCCTACAGGTCTTGCATGAGTGTGTAGCAAAGTCGTGGGGACGGGCTATGCCCCCAGGAGGACTTTGAAGTGAAGTCACCAAAGGGATTAGCAGTAAAAGACAACAAGGGAACTTTTCTGTTGTTCTAGGCGTGGAAGGGAAGAGAAACTTGCTCCCACTTCACCTGCCCTCCCCTCTGTTTCAGTCTGTGTTTTTAGGCATAAATCGCTCTGATTACATGATTGACTGTGCTGTGGACGGGACGCCAGCTCTGAAGCAGATTGAAATAAACACCATTGCTGCCAGCTTCGGGGGCCTCACTTCCCGAACCCCGGCCGTTCACCGGTAGGGAAGCAGCTCCACAACCAAGGCCGTGTGGCATCTGCATGGCCAGGCCTGTTGCCCTCTGTCCTTCCCTGTTCCCCCGGCTCCTGCTCTAGAGTGCTGGGCAGTGGCTGTCATGAGACTGAGAGCTGCTTCTGTGCCACAGGCAGGTGCTAAAGGTGCTGGGAAAAACTGAGGAGGCCTCACGTCTGGTGACCAACAATCCATCCCAAGGGCTTGCGTTGGGAATTGCAAAAGCCTGGGAGCTCTATGGTTCACAGAGGTAAGGAGAGAAAAGCTCCCAGGGGCCACATTATCTTGGCTCCCTTGGGGATACACACTTTTTTTTTTTTTCTTAAACTGTACATTGTGGAAGATGCCTCTGTGACAGACAAAGCTGCTCTTGAAAAGGTTAGGGCCATCCTGTGAGGAGCAGAGCTGTCACCTTAGCATGCAAAGCTGCTATTTTGGACCTCTGTGTGCATATGGTGTCCTGTCACTCTTGGACGTGCCACAGAGTGACTCTGGAGGAGTTGTGTGATTAAAGAACACTGCGTGGTTCAGTTTTCCTTGTGTCCTTGGTGCTTATAAGCACTGGCTTATTAATGATGTGGGATCAGTGCTGCTCTCTGTTTGCTCACCTGTAGAGATGCTGGAGACACCTAACTTGAGCACTGTAGGAAGACTGAACCTCCAAGAGGTCAAAAGCTTTCGATTTTTTGGGTGCGTGTTTGGTCTTTCTGGGTTTAATTGCATTCTTGATACCTCTTTCAGTGCTGTGGTGATGTTCCTGGTGGAGAGAGTCCAAAGGAATATTTTTGATCAGCGATGTGTGGAAAATGAACTCTGGAACAGGTAATGGTGGAATTTCTTGGGATAAGAAGGGAAGGAGGTGGTACAATTCTGAGGGGGAGAGAGAAGCAGCTTGCTCCTGTGTTCCTTCTGCCTAGCCTCAGCACCCATCTTAATCTTCCTCCACACCTCGCAGTGCCAAACAGCAGCTCTTTGATGGAAATAGCAGCAGTGATCAAAGCCTCTCTTCTCCAGGGCTGGTTTCTTGTGGCCTTTACCTCTGTGTATTCCTGGGAGCTGGACCCGTGGTGGCTCTGCTGTGGGGCACGTCTCTCCAATAGGGCACTTTGGAGCAGAGCTGGTTAATGAGAGTCCTCTTGTTATCCTGCTCAGGACAGGAGGTTTCATAAAACTTCAAAGATCTTTGTGAAAGATCTGGGCTGAGGAAGGAACGTGTCTGTGGGTTAAAGGGTGTTGAAATGGGGAGTGTTTTGATGCCATCTAGCCCTGAGCCCCTCCAGACTGTGCTGATGCAGTAAGAGACCTTACAGATTCATAGTTTTGTAGGAATCAGGCTGGCTGCTGAGTGTGTCACTACATCCCCAGGGCCACACTGCCTCTTTGTGGAGAAAGCCTGTACAGCATGAAGTTAGGAAACGCAGGATGTTAAAATTTTATCTGCAATTTTTGGCTTTGAAGCCAACAGTGAATATATCTGTCATGTAGGGATAAAAGAAGCAGAATACTGAATTCTCCTAGAAACACCTTAAAAGGTGAGAGATGAGGAAAAATGCAGTGTGCCTAAGCAGATATTTTGCTTCCTAGTGTTTGGTCTGGAGAGAGGGCATGAGTGCTGAAAACAGGGACTAGTCTGACCTGAGGAATGCTAGGAATGCTTGTGGAAGAGCATGCACATCCTCCTTGTTGGGTTCCACTTTTCCGCTTTTGAATTCTGGCTCAAGTAACTCCACACACAGCCTGGTGACTCCTCCTTTTTTCTTACAGGAATATTCGGGTCATCAGGAGACGGTTCAGAGACGTGTTTGAAAAGGGATCTCTAGACGATGCCAGGAGGCTGTATATGTGAGTATGAGCCAAGGTGCGCATTCCTGGTGGCTGTTGGGTACACAGAGATGACTGCATGGCAGTTTCATGAGCTCTAAGTGGGAATTTTGGGTGTGTTTTTGAGTGCTAATAGTGGCTTTCTGAGAATGCAGTTCTCTTCTGTTTTGCAGGGCTGTTGCCACTTTGTATGAAATGGGAATGATTTTTGTTTTCCATGCTGGTGGGATTTTGTATATACACTTTAGTCCCTTACATGTGAAAGCAAGATTTCCCTCCTTCAATCACAGCCGTGAGAGCTCTCCAGGATCTTTGCTTCCTTCACATACGTCTGCTATGGAAAGTTCTGTCTATTGCAGAGGTTTCCCCAGGGACATTTCCTGTTTTCCGTTCATGTGTTGCTCTGGTAGTGGCAGTTAGTGCTAGGGGGGGGAGCCTTTTAAATGTCTTTGTGGGGTTTGTTAGTTTTGAGTGCATTTGGCTTCTCTTTCGTTCCTTGCAAAGATTGGGCTGTGGGTTTATAGACTCTTCCCACAGTAAAACAGTTGATTCCAAATGTGATGTTTATCCTGACTTCCAGAGTAATGTACTGCACAGCTTTTCCTTTAGGCTACGCAGGCCTAAAGGAAACAGTGATTTCATGCTAATGTTATTTCCATTTGTTATTTCTGCTTAAGTTGATTTTTCAGTGTAGTTTTGTGCTTGGTGCTTTTGGCATGTTTAATTAACACACTTGTCATTGCCAGTTAAGGGGAGAGGGTCTCCGCTGAGCTTCCTGCAGAGCTTCCTCTTTCCTTACTGACAAATGCCTCCAAATTCCAGTCCCTGCCTCCTAGCCAGCGTCAGTGTTTTTATTCCCAGTTTGCGTGGCCAAAGCTCGTGTGTGTGGTGCTGCAGGTAGGTTAAGAGCAGCGCACGGGATGTTTTTGTGCCTGGGGCAGGATGTTGAGTTGGGGTCCCACCGTTGGGCTGCCGTTGGAGAAGGACCCCTCAGCGCCTAGGCCTGGCTCCCAGTGGCAAAAGCTGTTTAAAAAAATAAATTCTCACCTGCCTGCTGTGCTGAGTGTGTGAGTTATGGAGACATCAGTTAGTCATGCAGAGGCCTCATGTCAGAGCAGCTAGAGCCCTGTGGAGAGGAGCAAAGGAGTTTGCAGTCACCTGCTTTCATCTGCCTTCTCTCGCAGAGAAGAGAGCTTCCTCTGCAAGGTCTGGTCCCCATCATGAGGAGGAGCAGAGCAGCCCGCGAGGCCAAGGAGAAGGGGCAAATGTGAAGAGGGAAGGGGTGTAGAGAGGAAAACAAAGATGACAAAGACTCCTTAGAAGAGAGTTTGGCCTCCACTGGAACCCTCTTTGCTGGCTTTGCAGTGAGACAGTCTAGGGGCAGTGCATGAATAGGAAAACACAGGTGAGACCCACAGTAACTGAACTAGATGGTTGTCCTGATACTTTTTGGTGCCAGCAGTAGCTGTGGTTGCTGTAGAACTAGCATACAAATGCGAACTTGAAAATATTGGAGTGGGCTGTTCCTGGAAGAACATATCAAGGTGTCTGTTCCAAGTACCATGTTAGAAGATGGCTTAGACATAAGTGTTTTGGTGGGGGAGAAGTTCTGGCTGCTGCAGCCCAGCCAGCTGCTCAGGCTGGTCCCATAACACTTTGGACACTATCATGTCGCAGAGCTGTCTGCTTGGGGTGCCAGAGGGCTTGAGTAGAGGGGTCGATTTGGTGGCTGGCCTGATTTTGTGACTGTTGATGCCTTCTGTTCCAGAGATGGCCAGGAGGTAGCAGTGGTGTACTACAGAGAGGGCTACGTGCCCCAAAACTACGATCCACAGGTTGGTACTGACTGCTGGGATTGGAAAAACTGCAGTGCACAGCAGCTCTGAACCTGCCCACGATCCCAGGTGGGATCAGTCTCATCCTGGGTAGGATTAGCCCTGTCCAGCAGGGCTGATCCCATTGGGAAGCTGTGATTCTGCAGTACGTAGGAGTGTCCCTGGCACTCTTGTGCTCCTGCATAGGCAGTAGGAAGAATGAATGGCCTTCTCCTCCAAGAGCCATTTGCCTTGTCACCTCTTATCCACAGCACTTCTGTACCGTGCAGCTTAATGCGGATGTGAGCACCTGCTCAAAGAGTTAAGTCCTGAATGGATATGGATGATTTTCATGGATAATAATTTTCTGCCCTTAAGCTGGAGGTGATAATGATGCAGACCAAATCTTGCTGTTGTCTGCAAGTGCCAGCACTGGGCAAGCTGCAGAGGGGATGCAAGTAAAGGCATTGAACTAACCTGGCTGTGCCGTTTCCAGAGGCAGCAGGAGATCCACACGTGCATTTGCCTCCTTCTCTCCTGTGTGTCAAGCTTTCCACCCCCTTCCCTGGCAGATAAGGAGGGAGGAGGAAATTGTATGTCAGTAAGTGAACAGAGCTGGGTAAATAAAATGATTACTTTGCTGATGGGATTATTGCTCTCCCTGTGTCTTAGAACTGGGAGGCACGACTGCTGCTGGAGAGGTCGAGGGCAGTGAAGTGCCCTGACATTGCTACCCAACTCGCTGGGACCAAGAAGGTCCAGCAGGAGCTGACCCGGCCGGGGATGCTGGAGAGACTCCTGCCAGGCCGTGCGGCCTCTGTGGCTCGGATAAGAGAAACATTCACTGGGCTCTATTCCCTGGACCTGGTGAGTGATGCGTGTCTGGAGCAGAAGTAAATGTGCAGATACGCTCGGCCTGTTTAATATTTCTCTTTAGTTAAGAAAAGTGGCAGTTGAAACTGATCTTGGAAGCACTTTGTAAAATCTGACCTCCTGAAAGGGCTTTGTGGCCTTGATAGGGACCTGGGTGGCCCTGCTCAGAGAGGGCTGTGCGGGAGCCCCTGCTTTTCCCTGATGCTTTGCTGTTGCCATCCTTGCTGCCAGGGAGAAGAGGGTGACAAGGTGGCTGCTAAGGCCATTGCTGCCCCTGACCACTTTGTGCTGAAGCCACAACGAGAGGGTGGAGGTAAGAGCTGGAGTGGGTCCTGGGGGTTTTCATCATGTTCCTGTACTGTGTTATAAAAGGATGGCTTCCTGTAAGAGGTGCAACAAGAATGCCACTGGCATGTTTCAAGTCTGTTTCAGTCCTGCCTAGACTTTAGAAACAGCTCTTTTCATCACCTCTTCCCATGACCTTGTGTGGCCTCGCTGGCTTTGGTAAGATGGTGTGAGCATGAGCAACATCTCACGTGTAGGGTTGTGAGGCCCGTTAGGGACCTGACCAGCAAGAGCAAGGCATTTGGGGCTGGCCAGGAGCAGGCAGCTTGTCTAGCCCTTCCCAAGATCCTGGCACAAAGAAGCTGCTCCTGGCACGGAGATCCTGCTGCTGAAGAACCTTCCCAAGCTCCTAGAGCTGGAGACACAAGGAACCTGGACAGCACATGGCAAAGGCTGCACCTATTTGGGCTGCCTGGGGCAAACAGCTTCTGCTGCTGTGCTGGGATGTGCCTGACCTGCTGGTTTTGTTGTCAGGAAACAACCTCTATGGTGAAGAGCTCAGGCACGTTCTGGAGAAGATCAAAGACAGCCCTGAGAGGACCTCTTACATTCTGATGGATAAGATCAAACCACAGCCATCTAAGAACTACTTGCTGCGGCCTCATAGTCCTCTGAAAGTTTCCGAGTGCATCTCAGAGCTTGGGATTTTTGGTGTCTACGTCAGGTAGGAAATATGTGGATAGCTGTTGTCGCCAGCACTTCCTTTCGGAACGATTTCCCCTCTGCACCATCTGAGCACAGCAGCAGGGCGGGTGTGGGGCGCGTAATGAAGAGGGGACAGATGTGGCAAGTCACTGTCCCTGACAGCTTCTTTCTGAGCACTGGGTTCAGATGCTGAACTGCTGCTCTGAACCTGCTGCCAAACACAGTCACTGCCACCTGAAACACGAACGTCTCACTGCTGTGTGTTTGGGGTGGTACCTCTCAGGATGGCTGTAGCAGCAATGCCTCGCTGGACCCCTGGGGGCCTCAGCAATATCTGAAGACTTAACGTGGTTGTGCTCAGTCATAAATAACTGCTCTTTTTGTGCAAACCATCTTAGATCCATGGAGATGTTTCCATGATTTAAGTCCTTCTTATACAATTTTAGGAATAAATGTGCTCTGGCAGCACTAACAACGTGACAGTAGAAAGAAATCTGACAGAAATGACCTGTCTGAGCACACAGCTATGTCATTGCTGTGCAGAAAATAAGCACAGCTTCGTTATTACTCTGCCCTAGACCAGAGAGCCTTAACATGCCAGTTAACGACCCTGTGCTGTGGCTTTGGTGGGGAATGCCAGTCAAATTCCCCAAGGCAGTAGAAATGTGAGTTTTCTGCTCTGCAGGTGCTCAGTTGCCCTTTTCTTTTGCAGACAGGGCAAGGAGATGGTGATGAACAAGGCCGCCGGCCACCTCCTGCGGACCAAGGCAATCGAGCACGCGGACGGTGGGGTGGCGGCTGGGGTGGCAGTGCTGGACACCCCCTACTTGGTGTGAGGAGGTGATGCCCCATCCTTGCTCTGTTGTCTGAAGAGCTCATCTACCACAGGGATGTTTTCCTTAGGGTGCAATTACCAAGGCCTGAGGTGTTTGGGATCAGGAGGAGGGACTGTACAAACATAATGGTTCCACGAGACCTGCATGCCAGGTCCAGCTTCTCATTTGCAATTCCTCTGTCAGAAGAAGGGATTCCCTTCCCCTTCCTGCTCAGTGGGTCCAGCCCTACCCCAGCTCCAGCCTCCAGCCCCGACCTCCCACTGTCGCATTGATTCAGATGTTTCCTTGGGGTCTAGCCTCCAGGCAGTGCTATGTATTGCAAATCCGAATGGTGAGTGCACTGAGCATCCCCTCCCTGGTCTGCCCCCTGGCAGGGAGCAGGGCATCAGCAGAGAGGCCTGGCCCCTTTAATCATCCTCCCAGCACATGTGGTGGGGTGAGGTGGCACCTCTGTTGGGTGGGAAACAAGGGATGTGCAGAGGGAAGCAAACGCAGCCCGAGCTGCCCAGGCCTCAGTGCTGTCGCCTGCTGCGTTCTTCAGACACAGGATTTGTGTTCGTTCCTCCCTGGAGCAGGTGGCAGTTCCTAGTGGCAGCCCATTACTGCCTACGTGGCTCTGCCACTGCTGTCACCGCTGGGACCAGTAGAAGTGGATGGCGAGAGGTGCCTCCCTTAAGATTTCATACACTGATGGTATCAGTGAAGGGGACAATTGGGCTCTGCTCCTGTGGCCTTCTGCCCATTCCACTGGTGTGACCCTCCTCCACCTGCCCTTGTTGAGCCAAGCAATTCATAGAGAAACATAAAATAGAGGGGCCTCTCTGGAAGTGGCCTGGTAAAGCACCCAGGTAGCCTTAGCTCTGCTTTTTAATGAGACCTGAGAGAAGAATCTTTAAGGCAATATTTCTTATGAATCAATTTGTTGACTGAATCTGTGCCTACACCCTGCCACATGTGCTGCTGCTCTGGTGCTGTGCAGCAGCCCCCAAGGGCAGCACTCAGGCTGGGTGCTTTAATCATGAATCCTTGAACTTGGAAATCTTTCTGTTCTTTCAGTGTAACTGGTTCTGTGCTTCTGGGTTGTTGTTTAGTTGGGGTGGGGGGGCTAATTACCCCCATGCTGAGATTAAAATGTACGCTCAGTCTGAATGCTGTTCTCATGTCAGTTTTGTCTGGGAATATACCCACAAGGAAAATTAGTTCATATTTCCTTGTTCTCTGCCAGGGGCATCTCTTATGGTGATGGACCTTTTGAATTTTGGCTTTAAGGGTATCAATTACCAGCATACCAGGTACTGCAGCACTTCCAAAGTTTGTGGGAGTAGGTCAGAGCTGTCATCATTCCTTTCCCTGTTGATTTCTCCTTCCTTGCTCATCTCCTCTGTAGCTGCTCTGGAACATGTGAGGGTTATTTTTCTACGTACATAACTGCAAACAACCCTGCAGGCCTTGCAGACCCAGGTTGAGGAGACACGAGTGCTGACAGTCTCTGTCCCCACAACCAGCTTGTGTTTTGTTCATGCAGGACTTCAGGAAAGCCAAACCCTGTAATGCTTCCCAGGACAACACACCTGAGCTGTGCTCGGAGCCCAGGTTGTTGCTCTCTCCCGTGTTGAGACAGGCGGATGGTCCCTGCTCCGGAGGAACTAGCTCAGCTCCTGTGCTGGTGTGATGTGCCACGTGCTGCCTAGGAACAGGGGATTGAATCTCTTCTGAAGGGATTTTTAAGCTGCAATCAGGCTCTTGGGGAGAGGTAACCACTGAATGCCCAGGGGAAAGGGAAAGATGCCATCTCCTATGGCTTGACATTCACTTGCTCTTGGAGACAGGCAAATGGCTCTGAACAGAGTGATGAGCACTGTGGCTGGCCACAATGGCAGTGCTTAAGTCACCCTAGTGTGATGCCTGCCTGGGGCACAGGGACACAGAGCTCTGAACAAGCCACAACCAGGCTCTGTATGTGGGGGCCACATGTTGCTGACCAGCACCTACCCCTGCTGCAGGGTGGGCTGAGGAGCTTTTACTGCCCACACTGGCACAATCAGGCTCAGTCTTAAGCAATTCAAGCTGTTGTTTGCCCTCATCTCTCCTGGGCTCTTGCTCAGATAACCAGCCTAGTCCTCAGAGCAGTTGAGATTTTTTTTTTTTAGGCATGAGGAAATGGTTGAAATCTCTGCTGGCAATGAACTTGAGACTGAAGTCCAACCTCGAGGGTGGAGGAGCAGTGGAGGCTGGTGTGGAGGACTGCAGCGGCGTGAGGACCAGCTCTGCTCCAGCACCTTTGCTGGCTTTGGGAACAAGATGGGCAGGGGGAAGAGGCTGGCATCAACGCAGAGGTTCCCTGCTTGCTCTGCCAGACCTTTGCCACGAGGAGCTCATGGTTTCCATAACATGTGGGTTAAGGATAACTGCCAGGCTCTTGGCTCTGTCTGGACTCGTACACCAGACAGCTACCTCCAACCAGTGCACATGTGCCAGACCAGTTTCCATTCTGTTTCTTTGATTTTTATTCCCTTTTTGCATAGAATTCTAGCTGTTTCCAGCCAAAATTACATAGCAGACTCAGAGGAAAACAGGAAGAGAGCAAGTGTGGGAGCAAGTGTACAGAGCTGTGGGGGGAGTGTATGACACAGGCACACACTGAGGTTACATATCACAGGCGAGTACTGTGCCAAGGAGAGTAGCAGGTAGGAAATGAGACTTGGCCAACACCCCCTCAGAGCACCTCTAACCTTCCCTGGAGCAATCTGCCTTGGAGACAGCTGCTTCCCTTCAAGACCATCGAGAAATCAGCTCATTTTACAGGTAAAGCCTGTACACTGGGGTTCACAAACAGCTCTTGCAGCAAGTTTTACAGCCCCTTTCTCCTTTGGTTGAAGTGTAAACTCAAGCAGCTCCTGCCTACTTCCAATACAGCCATTAGAAAGGAGGTATCTTTCCCAGCCCAACCCAGGGCTGCAGTTAAGTTTAATTAATTTATGGCAGGATTGTTGGCTTTGGCAGCACCTTTTAGCTGGAGATAAAATTTTCTATTTTTTCCCCCTCATATCAAAAGGCCCTATCAGATTTAAGCAATTGCTGGATTTAAATGTCTTTCCCTCTTTCATTTTTGTGAATACAGCCCTATCTGCCTTGTTTTCTTTGCTGCAGCAAGGAGCTTGCTGCCCTCTAACACACACTTGGTTGGCCTGTACTGGGAGAAGTGCCTCTGTAGAGCAGTGGGGTGGCTTGGGTTGTGTTTTTCCCCCCCTCTCCCCTGTCCTTTTGGTAGCAGTAGCATCTGTGTCTCACCCCAGGCCTTGTCCTGCCTCTAGGCTTCACTGGTGGCACGAGGGAGCAGAGGACAGTGCTGTACAGAGCACACCCCAGACAAAGACTTCTGTGGTGCCACCCTTGGCAGGAGAGTGCCCCTTCCTTTCCAGCCTCCCGCTCCTTCCTGCTGCAGGCAACACACCAGGACCCCTCAATTACATAAAATTAATTAATTCCCCCTCCCAGCCCCCTCCAAAATCATGAACAAGGTGATGGAAAGGGAAGAGCAGAAGTCCCTCTGTCAGCAGTGACGGCGCTGGGAGCTCCGCGCGCTGAGGCGCTCCGCTGAGGCGCGGACGCACGAGGGCGACGAGGCCTCTCCAGAGCCGGCCGTTCCCTCCCTTACAGCCTTTGTACGCTCAGTTCATCAGGGCAAGGTTTCTTTTCCTGGACAGAAA